CTTTAGAATGAATTTGATTTTTTTTTTAATATGTATATTAGTTTACAAAATGATCGAGTATGACGAATTCACCAACGTAAATTATGTCTCTTTAATTCTCGTTGACTAGTTTCTATTTACCTTTTATTTTACAATGCCACATTGAAAAAAGAAAAAAAAAATTGAATTGTTTCATGTAATAAAGTGAATCTTATGCTTTTATTTATATAAGCAAATGAGATTTTTAGTGAGAAACCCTATGATTAATATCTCATACTCATTTTTTTGATTTTCTTTATTTTAAACAATTAAGAAAATCCCCTTTAGTTAGCTTCCATTTAAATTTTATGTTGTTTTGTTCTTTTGATGTATTACATGTATATTCAAGCCCAGGGCTTAATGTGTGTATGAGTTAGCACTCTTTTGTTGTAACCAAGTGTTAACTTGGAAAGTTGTAAGCCCATAAGGCAATTTTGCTTTTGTTGTTGGCATGTAATACTTTTGTAATGAAACTCTGATGAATAGAAGAATATGGTTATTTCATATGTCTTGTTTGATGGGTTTAATGTTATTATTTTGAGGGCGTTACAGCAATCTTGGCCACTCTACCAATGGTGGATTCAAATGTGAAAATAGCTCCAATATTCACAACAGCAGGTCTTGAAGAAACATTTCCACTAAACCCATTTGCAAAAATGCCAACAAGGAGCAACAACAATGAAAGAATCCAAATCATTCTCATTTTAGATGGGCAACTCTGATATCTTTGTACCCTTAAAATGAATCCAATCACATACGTCGAAAGAGAATTCTTTGCATAATTGATTCATGGGTTTGGCGAATTTGAAAGAACCATTACTTTCAACAAACATGTAAGATATGACAGTGAAATCATTCAAAGAACTATATTAAAATGAGAGAAAATGAGGGAAACAAATGTAACCCAAAACACTGAAGCAATGCACAGCAGCTTCGCATTTTTTGTATGCAAGAGACGACCGGTGGAACGTCCTGTGGGATGATCGGTGGGACAACCGATGGGACGTCTGGCCGGTTGCTCGGTAGGACCCACCTCCAACGTAAATGCATAGTATTTTGGTGAAATCTGCCTAGCTCCTCAGTTTGGCGAAATTTTTGGGCGGTTCTCATTTTGATATCAGTTTGATGAAACTGTTGGAGCCAAAAAGGTTGCTTTTTTTCACCAAATTCAAATTTGGTGATGATTTTGCTTAACCGTTGGAGATGGTCTAAATTCTCATTCTATTTTTTTTGATTTTCTTAATTTTAAATAATTATTTTTATTTGATAACCCTACATCGAAAAAAGAAGGAAAAAAATGAGTTATTTTACTCATATAAAGAGAATCTTATACTCACATCTCATTTAGAGAAGAGCCCTGTGAGAGTTTCAATATCTCATACAATCCCACATTGGGAAAAAAAGGAAAAAAATGAGTTGTTTTACTCATATAAAGAGAATCTTATACTCTCTTCCTATTTAATGAAGAGCCTTGTGAGAGTTTCAATATTTCATACTAATTTTCTTGATTTTCTAAATTTTAAACAATTAAGAAACTTTTCATTGGCTAATTTTTATTTGATAATCCCACATTAAGAAAAGAAGGAAAAAGTGAATTGTTTAGGTTGTGATAGTTTAAGTTGGAAGCTTTTATCATAATTTAGGTTGATGGTTCACCAAACTGTACGGTGAAAATATGTCTCTCTAATAGGAGGCCAACTTATATAATTTAAAGCCTGTTTTTTAATAATTAATGTTGTTGTTGTTGTTGTTGTTGTTATTATTATTATTATTATTATTATTATTATTATTATTATTATTATAAAAGGGTTTCGAAATTTGGAGGCCGTCACCCATCTCCCCAAATTGGGTCCATCTTGCTTGCATGACTACAATTAATTATATTTGTAAAATAATATTTTGCTCCAAATGCAACGATGCAAGTTAATTCCACAATTATGACCACATGGATGACAATATAACAAGTCACGTGTTGGAGATGAAAAGATGTCTGTTGATTGACTTTGATTTATTTTCAGCTTTTATTAGCAACATTCTGAAGAAATTAAAGTTCGATTTACTTTGAGCGAGACTATCATTTATAATCACATAATTTTATTATATTTAATTTTTGAAAATAAATAATATATATAATTTTATAAATAGATCATATATTTTTATTAAAGATAAATATATTGAAATCACATGAATATGACTTTAGAATGAATTTGATAATATATATAATTTTATAAATAGATCATATATTTTTATTAAAGATAAATACATTGAAATTATATGAACATGACTTTTAGAATGAATTTGATTTTTTTTTAATATGTATATTAGTTTACAAAATGATCGAGTATGACGAATTCACCAACGTAAATTATGTCTCTTTAATTCTCGTTGACTAGTTTCTATTTACCTTTTATTTTACAATGCCACATTGAAAAAAGAAAAAAAAAATTGAATTGTTTCATGTAATAAAGTGAATCTTATGCTTTTATTTATATAAGCAAATGAGATTTTTAGTGAGAAACCCTATGATTAATATCTCATACTCATTTTTTTGATTTTCTTTATTTTAAACAATTAAGAAAATCCCCTTTAGTTAGCTTCCATTTAAATTTTATTTTACAATCCCACATAGTTTTGATTTTAAAAATAATTTTGTATGAGATTTTGAAATTCTAATAATATTTAACTTTAAAATAATTATAATCCTACATCGAGAAAATAAAAAAAAAAAGAAAAAGAAAAAAAGTAAGTTGTTTCACTTATATAAAGTGTTACAATCCCACATTGGGAAAATAAAGAAAAAGTGAGTTATTTCACTTGTATAAAATGAATATTATAAAGGACTTTTCTTAGGTGTGCCCTGCATATGGTATGCAAGGCACTTACACCCTTCTATTTTACATTTACACATTTGTATGTATTGGGTTATATCAAAATATTTGAAAACTTACACATTGGTGACCGGCTAAGCGGGTCAAAATATCTGAAAACTTATGCTTTTTGTGAAAACTTACGCCTTTTGTGAAAACTTACACATTTTCTGAAAACTTATACTTTTTTTCTGAAAACTTACGCCTTCTGTGAAATTATTTACACATTTTGTGAACACTTACTCCTTTTGTGAGTTTACTTACCAAAGGTGTAAACAAACGAAAACTTATACATAATACTTACATCTTTTGTGAAACAAGTCACACATTTTCTAAAAAGTTACACCATATGTGATAAAATTTCTTTCATAAAACTTACACATTTTCGTGAAAATACTTACACCGTTTCTGAAAAGTTACTCATTTTGTGAAATAATTTTTGTCATAAGATTTATACTTTTTCTTCACACTTACACGTTTTGTGAAAGCCCAACTTAAACCTTTTTCTGAAAGCACTTACATATTTTGTGGAAAAAAAATTCATAAAATTTACACATTTTGCTAAAACTTACACCTTTTTGTGAAAATACTTACACCATTTCTGAAAAGTTGCTCCTTTTGTGAAATAATTTTTGTTATAAGATTTATACTTTTTCTTCAAACTTACACCTTTTGTGAAAAGCCCAACTTAAACCTTTTTGTGAATCACTTATATCTTTTGTGAAAAAAAAAAAAAATCATAAAATTTATATCTTTTGCTAAAAGTTACACCTTTTTGTGGAAGTGCTTATATTTTTTCTGAAAAGTTACTCCTTTTGTGAAATAATAAATGACTTCACAAAAAGGTTTAAGTTGGGCTTTTCACAAAAGGTGTAAGTTTGAAGAAAAAGTATAAATCTTATGACAAAAATTATTTCACAAAAGGAGTAACTTTTCAAAAAAAAATATAAGCACTTCCACGAAAATGTGTAACTTTTAGCAAAAGATATAAATTTTATGAATTTTTTTTTCACAAAATATATAAGTGACTTCACAAAAAGGTTTAAGTTGGGCTTTTCACAAAAGGTGTAAGTTTGAAGAAAAAGTATAAATTTTATGACAAAAATTATTTTACAAAAGGAGTAACTTTTCAGAAAAAAATATATGCACTTCCACGAAAAGGTGTAAATTCTAGCAAAAGATATAAATTTTATGAATTTTTTTTTTTCACAAAAGATATAAGTGACTTCACAAAAAGGTTTAAGTTGGGCTTTTCACAAAAGGTGTAAGTTTGAAGAAAAAGTATAAATCTTATAACAAAAATTATTTCACAAAAGGAGTTACTTTTCTGAAAAAATATAAGCACTTCCACGAAAAGGTGTAAATTATAGCAAAAGATATAAATTATATGAATTTTTTTTTTTTTCACAAAAGATATAAGTGACTTCACAAAAAGGTTTAAGTTTGGCTTTTCACAAAAGGTGTAAGTTTGAAGAAAAGTATAAATCTTATGACAAGAATTATTTCACAAAAGAAGTAACTTTTCAGAAAAGATATAAACACTTCCACGAAAAGGTGTAAATTTTAACAAAAGATATAAATTTTATGAATTTTTTTTTTTCACAAAAGATGTAAGTGACTTCAGAAAAAGGTTTAAGTTTGACCTTCACAAAAGGTGTAAGTTTGAAGAAAAAGTATAAATCTTATGACAAAAATTATTTCACAAAAGGTGTAACTTTTCAAAAATAGTATAAGTTATTTCAAAAAAGATGTAAGTAGCTTCACAAAATGTGTAAGTTTCGTTTTCACAAAAAAGGTGTAAAATTTATAAAAAAAATTATTTTACAAAAGGAGTAACTTTCTAGAAAATTATTCTTTTTATGAACATACACCTTTTCTGAAAATTATTCCTTCTATGAACATACACCTTTTTCTGAAAAAAGGTGTAACTATTTCAACGAAAATGTTCAAAAAAAGTGTAAATTTTAACAAAATGTACAAATTTTATAAAAGAAATTATATCACAAAATGAATAATTTTTCAAAAATTGTGTAAATTATTTCACAATAGATACAAGTAGCTTAAATAATTTTTCAAAAATTGTGTAAATTATTTCACAATAGATACAAGTAGCTTATGTTTTGTTTTCATTGTAAGTTCCACTAAAAGTGTAAATTTTATAAAAAAATTATTTCAGAGAAGGTGTAATTTTCAGAAAATCTGTCGATCTTGGTCTCCGGCGCTGTCGATCTTGATCTCGGTCTGGCTCTGTCGATCTTGATCTTGGTCTGTCGATCTGTTGATCTGTCTTCTCTTCTCTGTCGATCTCCGTCTCTCTCTCTCTCTCTCTCTCTGTCGATCTCCGTCTCTTCTCTATCGATCTTCGTCGATCTCGGTCTGTCTCTCTTTGTCGATCGCTCTCCCAAACGCTTCGTCTCTCTTCGAAATTCTAGAGAGAGAAACACCAAGCCCTCCCAAACGCCTCTTCTCTCACACATTGCCATTATTTGAACAACAACACAAATACAGTTTGATTCGATTGTAGGAGCTCTTCGCAATTTTCGTTCCTCTCTCTACTCGAAAACATCAACAGATCTGGACTTGGGTAACTTCTTGGCTCCAATTCGATCAGGTTTGATATCTTCTTCTCTCTTTTAGATCTAGGTTTGCTTCAATTCCGAATTGTGGTGATTGATCGATTGTTTCAGATCTGGGTTTGATTCGCTCTTGGGTTTTTGGGTCTCATTTTTGTTGTTTTAACACAGATTGAGCTCAGATTTAGCTATATTAATCATTTTTATGATCATTTTCATTCATTGATCGTCTCATTTTTTTGTTTGATATGTTAATATGGGAATTAGATTTGTAAAATAGGACTTGGAATTGATTTTCCCCTTGACAAATAGGACTTGGAATTGATTTTCAAGATGTTTTTCTACCTCAGCAGTTTCAATATTACAAGTCATTGATCTGCTCTTTGTTTTGTCCTTCTATTTCTTAGATAAAAAGGTGATTGTAGAACTTATGGTATTAGCTCATTGGATCTGCTAAATATATAGCATTAATGAAGAATCTTTTTCATGTTGTGTTTGGAAGCTCCAGTTGTTGATGGATTGTAATGATCACTATTTTGTTAATACCCAACTCTGAGCTCTCCAGTAATTGTTACCTTAATGTAGATAAAGGGATCAACCTTTTGTAGTCTCATAGCTAAACTGCAACATAGTGCTAGGGTTCACATTGCAAGGGGCAAATGCAGATTCAGATGGCTATCTAGAAAATAGAGATTAGTGAACAGCTCATATATTGGCTGACTGCACTCAACCCATAGAATATACACTCAAATCTTTGGAGATATTCAAGTATGTTTCTCACAACACTCAACCCTCAAAATCTGCGATAGAGCTCCTCAAGCTGCTGCACAAGTTAGCAAACAATTAGAATAACACACATTTTTGTTGACCTTCACTCAACTCTCTTTTAGAAAACTCACATCAGATTTAGTCATGTGCCATTACTTATGATAAGCATTTATGTTGGCTAAAACCACTTTGGATGTCAAGTAATCTTGATGAATTCTTCAGAGGCTTCTAATATTCTTTATGGCGTTGTGCTGCAGAATGTTTCTGAGTTTTATGGCCTTGATATCCTTGTATGCTTCTATTTATAGAGTGTCATATACGCTCATGCTTAAACACTCTTCAGTTTCTCCACAAGAAGAAGGAAACCCTCAATATGGTATGATATTCAGTTGATCATGCTCTAGCATACTTTTTGTTAGTTAATAGTGGTTTAACATATATTGCTATGTTATATTCAATTAAGGGTTTAACTAAAATAAGATTTTTTTGGAAAATTCATGTCTAATTAAAATATTTTGTCGGACTGTCTGGCTAAGGCAACTAATTAATTTTGTTGTCCGTACTTTAAATCTGGCATGCATATAAGCCTTTTAAAATATTTGAATTGTCTAAGCCAACGCATCACCCATATATCAAAACTAACCCAATTCCTAAACTGCCCCCAAACCACCATACAGATGTCACGGCCACCTTCCCTGTGACAAATAGGACCTGTAATAACAGACGGAATACAATTATCACGTGTAGGTTGGGACTTACAGCCGAAAATGCCTTAAATCTTAACTGAAAAAAGGCATTAAGGGGGCGAAACAACGAAACAACCCCCGAACCACCATACCAATGTCACAGCCAGCTTCCCCATGACAAATAGGACCTGTGACAATAGACGGAATGTAATTCAGGCGCGTAGGTTGGGAATTAGAGCTGAAAACGCCTTACGATTAACCGAAAAGGGGCATTAACGGGGCAAAAAAGCAAAACAACCCCCAAACCACCAGACGGATGTCAAAACTAGCTTCGTCACGACAAATAGGACCTTTGACAATAGACGGAATGTAATTAGCACTTGTAGGTTGGGAGTTAGAGTCAAAAACGTCATAAACTTAACCGAAAAAGGGCGTTAAGGGGGCGAAAATGCAAAATAGCCTCTGAACCACCGTATAGATGTCACAACCAGCTTTCCCATGGAAAATAGGGCCTATGACAATAGACGGAATGTAATTAGCATGTGGAGTTTGGGAGTTAGAGTCGAAAACGCCATAAACTTAACTGAAAAGGGGCGTCAAGGGGGCGAAAATGCGAAATAGCCGCCAAACCACAGTATGGATGTCACAGCGAGCTTCTCCATGACAAATACGACCTGTGACAACCGGTAAAATGTAATTAGTATGCGTAGGTTGGGAGTTAGAGCCGAAAACGCCTTAAACTTAACCGAAAAAGGGCGTTAGGTGGGTGAAAATGAGAAACGGCCCACGAACCACTCTACGGATGTCACAACCAGCTTCCCCATAACAAAAAGGACTTGTGCTATGATTTTACATTGTTTGACTCCTGTTTTTCAGGTGGCCTTTGTTTAATATATTTTTTTTCCTATTTTTGTTTCACTCTGGGACAGTCTCCAATATTTTTGTAGTAAAAGAGAGCATGCTGTGCTTGGGTTTTTAACTTATTTTCCTTACTTCACCACAAGAAGCAATAGATTATTTGATCCATGACCTCCACCATTTCTCGATTTTTCCACAGCTTCTGCAAGTTTTGCCCCTTTGGCTACTTCAACTGTGGTTATGTAAAATTTCTTTTATCTTGAATGGAGGGACCCTCATGGAGCAATTTTTGACTGGAGTCTTAGGCATTGCCAAGAAATTGAATTAGGGTGTTGTGTGTCTTTGTACTATTTGAGATGACCGAGTGGTTTTCTCAAACTGTTAAAATGATTGATGTCTATTTTCACCGCATACAAGATTCCAATGAATGGTCTCATCCTCATGATATTTATTTCTATAATCAATTTGTTAGTTGCATCATTGACTACATATTCTTATCAATACAATTGACTCCATATTATTTGTCCATTTTGTGCCAAGTCTGCAAACCACCTTTGCTCTATGAGACTATGACAACTTTGGCGATGGAAAAAACTTTAAAAAATAAAAATAATGAAAGAAAAGGAAAGGGAAGATAGTATAACGCAATATTGGTTTAGTCTTTTTAGAAATTCATGTTGTATTTGATCATTAGTTTTGCCAAAAGGTATTTTCATTACTATGGGCAATTGCTACATCAGCAAAATATGCTACAGGATTATGTGAGGACAGGTTATATCACTGAGCTTTGATTTGTTGCTTCCTGATCTTGTTGTAGGTGTTTGCCTTCTGTTTTTGTAATTAAAAATTCTTTGTTAAAGGCATATGTGCCATTGTGCTGCTGGTAAAATGCTTTGTATCTTGTCAATTTTTTTTTCCCTTAATTGTAAAGTAATGCATGCCATTCTGAGTAGTTATAGATCACAAGGTGCATGTGTGAGTGACATGATAAACATGCTTGTTTTAGGAACTTATTATGCTGCAGTCATTGAGAATTGCACTGATTTTGTTGGTCGTGTTATGGTTGTGGATGTTGGTGCTGGTAGTGGTATTCTGTCATTATTTGCCGCTTTGGTTGTCTAAGTTTTATCTGTGTTTGCGCATGAAAATATATTGACATAATTGATTTATCTTTTGTCTGTTGGTCTTCTAATAGTTTTATCTGTGTTGGTCTTGTCAAATCTTTGTATGTTGGTCTTCGATGAGAACATTACTGATCATTGTTGTTTGTTGACATTGTATATCTTTCAAATTCTCGTTTATATTGCCTTTGGTTACAGTTAGTAAATTTTGTGCCCCCCTTTTAAATGTAACTGTGTTCTGTGATGTTCAGGCAGCTGAGATTCTTGCGAAGGAAGGGATCAGTGCTGAGGTATAAAATACATTAAATGAATATGGTAGTGTTGGTGTAAGACCTAAAATCATTCAAGTATCAGTTTTAAATATGGTAGTGTTGGTTTACTGTTTAAACAGGTTATAAATCTTCGCTCAATTAGGCCACTAGATACGGCCACAATCAATGCTTCAGTTCAGAACACAAGTAGACTGGTGACAGTTGAAGAAGGGTGCCCTCAACATGGTGTTGGTGCTGAAATCTGGTGTGTATCTCTTCCCACGTGCTTTCCTCATGCAGAATTTGATTGTGATATATAATTTACTTGTACATAGATGGATATACATATACATGCACACACACATGATATTGTTCTTTTGATTATGTGCTTGTTATTTTAAATAGTGCCTCAGTTATAGAGGAAAGCTTCATGTATCTTGATGCTCCGATAGAGAGGATTGCTTATTTCTGAAAATTTAATTAGTGCATCACTTATGTCTGTGCCATTGTTTTATAGAGTGGAAAAGCTTTTACTGCAAAGCGAATGCAAGTGCTTGAGCTTGTAGGCAAGGAGACCATGGATCTTCTGATTACAGAAACTGGTATTGAAGTTCATAAGAAGGGAGCGCAAGCACAAGATGATGAGGATCAATTGTTTGAAGAAGTGACATTTGATAGATGCTTCTACATATACGGAGGTCCAGAACAATTGGAGATGACCTTCTTTATCTTCTTGGTTGAATGGCTTTCAATTCAATGCCAACTGGAATGATAGTTCTGGCTGAAGATTCTAAATTGCTATCATTTGCAGGAATTGGAGTGTTTGTCCAACCACTATGCTTTGTTATTTAACCAAAGAAAAGCGAAGCAATTATCTGAATAGAAGTCCTTTTATGAAGGAAAGCTAAAACAGGTGCAACTAATTTTCAGTTCAAGTTCTAAAATTGATGGAAGTGCCACAGCATCATAAAATGGAAAGAAAACAGAGACTGGAGCTGACGGGAGTGCTGATGAGATGAAGAATCTACATAACTCAAGTGTCAAAAAGGTTGCTGAAATGGCTGCGGCGTAATCTTGCCTCAAACAATGTGTTTCAGTTTTCAACTCTATTAATGCTATTAAGTAGGTATAACCTGTGTTGTCTGATTCCAATTGCAGATCCAAGCCAGATCTATTCCGTCACTTTTGGAAGGAAAATATATTCTTGGAGCTACAAGGACAGGTTCTGGAAAGACCCTTGCTTTTCTGATACCTGCTGTGGAGAAGTTACATCAAATCTGAACAGAGGTAATTGTCATCTGCCCAACTAGGGAACTTGCCATACAGGTAAATATTCTGGTTTCTATTTTATTTTTATTTTTTGACTTATCGATATCAATCTTTTCCGAAGATAGCCTGTGATGTGATTCCAATTATTAATCCTACACTCTAATCCTCTCAATTACAACTCTTTTTGTGATATATGTACTTTCTAAACAAGCAAATTGAAATGACAAAATCATTATAAAATAAAGCCATCCCTATTGTATCCTTTTTTCTGCAAAGATAATAAATCTAGAAGGTTAATATTAATATGCATTAACAGACTCATTATTTTAAATTTCAGTTCATGTCTATCTAAACAAGTAATCTTTTAAATGGTTACAATTGTGTTGGAGTTCTTCATGGTCCTTGATTTTTACTTCCACAAGATTGTGTATAGGAGATATGGAAGGCTTCTATAATGAAATATGTCTTGAGCACAAAAAGGAATAATTTGCAACTGGAAAATTAGTCTGTCACGCTACTTAGTTACTATTTATCATAAGGAAATACATTCTGGATTTTTAGGAAATTTTGTGTACGTAACTTTATTCAATTCTGTGATTAGAATTTCTTTTGAATTAGGTTACCAGAAGAGAGAGAGCTTAACGATTCAGTTAAAACTAAATCTCTTAGATGACATGGGCTAGGAAACTGTTTGTAAATGCCTACTTATTTGGCTTGAAGAATGGATAAGAACTACACTGTGTCCCTCGTTTGAATAGGTGTTGCGTGGAACGACAACATGTCTAATGAGATTTAATGTTGTATGTAGTAAGTGGATGCAAGTATTGTTGTTTCCATTTTGGTGTTAGATTTGTTGCTAAATGGATTTTGGATCTGTCATTTAGCAATCCTAAGGCTGTGTAAAGGGGCCACAATTGTATTGGTGTACAAGACCACGCAAAATTCTTTCAAATCCTAAATAGTAATAACAATATTTCCAAACGAATTTTTGGCATTGTTATAATTGAGTAATTTGAGTGATTTGTTTACCTCATATTTTGTCCTTAACTAAGAAGAAAGAAGTTTACCTTATATTTTGAGCAAGCAACAATACTTCCATTCTCTTAGAAATGTTTCCATATTTGTCACTAAGCTGTTATGTTTACTTCCATTATGACCACTAAGCTGTTATGTATCAATGCTATGATTGCTCAATAATCTCATTCTACATCTTCTGTACTTATTTTCAATACTTTTTTTTAATCTCTCTTCTGCAAAGAATTTGTTGTTCTTTGCTTTGATTTAAGGCCCACTCTATGAAAGAGATTTTTCTATATGTTACTTTCATTGTGATAGTTTTGTACCAAACAACTGCAAGTTTTTTGAACAAAAAAGGGAAAACGTAATAATTTGCAATAATGATAACCACAAAGTTGCCAACGGTAAATCAGTTCTTAGTCTAACTGGAGTAACCAATCTAGAAAATATAGGAACTACATGAGTAAACAATCCTTTTTCTTCACATTCTTCTTCCTCTCCTCTTACGATGTTTTATACCATGTTCTTTCGAATGTAGCTAAACCTAAACCTACACATTGCCACCTTATTTGATTGATTTTCAGAAGGTGGCTCTTCCAAAAGCATAGACTTTGGTTTGGCTGTGTATTCATGTTTAAGTTTTCAGCTTACATAAAACTCGAGCCATGTTATCTATTTGACCCAATTGGTTTCCGTTAGCATGGCATACTTAAGTACGTCTAAACATAATCACTTAAGTTGTAGATAGATATTGTTTTTATCTATTTATTCCTGGCTAATGTCCCTCTTTTTCCATGGTCTTGCTGGCCGATATTGCAGATAATTGAGTTACAGCTTCCTTCATTTTTCAACAACTTTGATCCTCGTGCTGCTGCTGCTAATTTCCCTTCAGGTAATCGACTTTCTAATTTTACCATCAGCTTCTCAAGTATTCATCACTGGGGTTTAGCTAGCTCTCAAATGTGCTTACAGCTTGAAAGTGCAACTAACATTTTAAAAAATTTGACATGTCAGGTGTGCAAGCATATTTGGCTGGGCTTACATTTGCATTAGCCGCTTCACCTTGGAGCACTCCTGTGCTGGCAACCCTGCTTGGATACGTAGCTGTATCCAAGATACTTTTAAATGTTTATTGGTATCAATTTCCATTTGAATTATTACCTTTTCAAACTTTATACTGATTGTTCTAGGCCTATAATGATGGCTTAGCACTCTTATCTCTATCTCTCATGTTTGGATGCATCATATATGCTATGCATTGCATTTGAGCTTCTAAACCTATTATTTAATTACATAACAAGCAAGTCAACTTAGTAGACTGCATTTATCTTAACATTCACAGTTGAGGGAGCAAAATTGGCACAATATTGGTGGGGCCAATATTTGTTATTTTATAGGAAACCCAGTTTGTAAGAAGTCTACCCAAGAGAAATTTTCAGACCCAGGAGGGGGCCATGGCCCCCCTTCATCCAAACATAGGCCCACCCCTAGATCCATCTTTTAAGTTGATAGTTTGCATAATGCTTACTGGTTGATTATTTAATTCAATCCTCAGTTCCAATATTGAGACAAAAAATGCAGTCATAAACAAATAACTAATGTGAAACTCCTAACAGGATCCAGTAATAGGGGGCAGCTTACTATTGACATACACAACTGGCTATGTTGCTTCTCTACTTCTAGCTGCTTCTTTTGCAGGAGCATTGCAGGTATACTCTTTTTTCACTCGGTAAAATCTTGTATGTGAACTCTTGATGTGCATAACTTACTGCTGCTTTTCCCCTCCTTTCCGAGGTATATATAGATAGTGCATCGTGGGCCCGGGCCAAAATTATGATTGTTCCAATGGCTTAGTGTACTTAGCCAATGATTTTGCAGGGCCTATTAGGGAGACACTGGGACTATGCCCAGATCTTCCTACCATCTGTAGGTGGAGGCCAAATCCGTGTCATCACTGATAAACTGTTTGCCACTTTGTTTCATTCTTACTCCTACACTTTTTGTTTGTCTAATTTTTATTGTTCGTTTGTATCCTGGGCAATTTCTAACACAAATTGTCTGCAGAGCCTGCTTTCATTCAGCAAATTCTCAGCATGGATCAACCCAATGAGGTGTTTTCTCCCTATTTTTTAGCATTAGGATAAGTTGTGCTTGAGGTTCTTTTTTTGCATTTACTCTTCAATGTTCATCTTCATTAGTGGT